GGCCTTTCTGCGGATGTATGAGGCTACAATGTCACAGTGAAATTTCAAAAGCTAAATTTGTGTTAAAGAAAGGTTTATGCTCCTAAATCGTATAATTTCTATGGCATTCTGTACTGTCAAGTATGTTACATGTAACGTATGCACTGCCAGTGGCTATTGCCAGTGCATGTGTTGGTCGGTACTGTGTAGTTTTTGCCTGCCATTAATTGGTTACGGTGGCAGCTCTCTATTGCAAGCCTGTAGGCTTGCGTAGGAGGTAGAATGGATGAGTGCTTTACCTATTCTGTCCTTGCAAATATTGTTGCTACTACGTATGATGGGAGCTTCATCTTTTAATCTGAAGACACTTAAACGTACGCGCCATCTTCGTGGCCACATTTCATAACGATCCAACGAACATCCTTTGAGAGCGTTCCTGATACCATCCCTGTTCTTCCACTGTTTTCGGCGTGTATGTGAACACATTTGGGACTAACAGGGTTTACTAGAATCCCACACCTCCACCACAGAGTCACCGCAGTAGACGTTAGATGAGCGCTGTCGCTCCACGGCACTTTGTTGTCTGTAAATATTAAATTTTTCCCCATTTTCTTCCTGAAAGTAGGGGGTGATGAAAGCCACCCACCTCAATAAGTGTAGGGGCGATATACCCCCATCCCCCCGCTATCTACGCCCCTGTCAGATGAACTCAAATTTGACTTTTGATATGCATACAAATATTCATAATCATAATCGATGATCACCATTGTTAGCATGCACAGTACTCTACAGGCGCCGCGGAACGATTTTTGAAGTGGGGGTGCTAAATTTGTTACGCTCGACAGTGGCCAATGCAGGATTTCGAGGAGGGGTGGTAAGAAACATTGCGGGTTATGCGGTCTCCCCCAGAAAATTTAAATCCCCCATTTTCCTCCTGAAAGTAGGGGGGATGATTGTACACGCCATCCCCCCCACGTCAATAAGTGGGGGGATGCATCCACCCCATCCCCCCCGCTATCTACGCCCCTGTGTGTCTGTGTGAGTTGTGCGTGTTTGAAGGGGATTGGTAAGGAGTTATAGAGCACATTAGCTTTTAGTGCTTGCGGTGCTTCAGTGAGTGAGGTTTTCCACCCAAGTCCACTGCCAAGCAGCTTATTCGATCAAGACGGTGGCGAGTGATTCTAACTTTTGAACGTAACCATTGTACCCCTTTTATACTGGGGGTTATCCCGCTTCAGGTCCGGACATAACCCCCAGTATAAAAGGTCGAAAAATACTTAGCCCGAGCTAAAGTTATTCTGCTCTAGGAGGTGGTTCAGGTCCGCTTCAGACCCGAGCTAACGTCAGTATAAAACGACTTATCCCGAGCTAAAGTTATTCCGCTTCAGAAGCGGGCTAAAGTCGTGCGCAGTCTAAAACGACTTATCGCTGTGCCAGCTAATGGCTGTCTCAAACGACTCTTGTCACCACCAGCCAGCAAGACCAAACAATGCCACTGCATCAACCATGCAAGCCACATACTACAGAAACTGATCAATCCCCCCCCCCGTCCTCCCATATCTACACGCTCGGATCTGAATCCGGAGCTTTGGCCCATACATTTTTAGGCCATCGCATTCACCTGCAGATCTCTGTAGTGAGTGATGCATAAGTGTGCAAGGTTAGCGCCAGAAACGAGCTATGGTCCCTGATAAGTTAGCTATTGTCCCCGGCGATAGGAAGGGGGTGCTAAGATCTCTGACTGAGTGGAGGGCTAAACTCGAACCGAATTTGTCAAAATTTCAAGGTTTAAAATGTGAGCATTTATAACATAATTATATAACATGTACAGATAAATCCGCTCTTCATCATGCTGGTTGTTTTCATAAAGTCACTGTCGCTAGTGCAGCACTACATATGAAGAGAGACATATCTTTTGCATATCTTTTCATGGATTCCTTGATGAGTTACTGATTTGTCCCTCGCGGGGGAAAGGCTGTCGCCCCCTCCCCCAACCTGGCACTGCCCCAGTAAGTGTGTTTGTGTGTCTGTGTGTGCGTGCGTGTGTGCAGCTGCTTAGCACATTCGAAATCTGCCACAGTGTAGTCGCCATGTAGAGCCTGAAGACAGAATGAAGCCCCATGCGCCCAATCATGCTGCTGCCTCACCGTATAAGCATTACGAAGGCTTTCAGACAAGCGGAACATCAGATATTTCTGGTGGCAACCTGTTCATAATGCCTGACGTGGAAAAACGCACGCACGTATGCACACGCACTAACACACGCGCACGCACGCACATGCACACACACATGCACACACACACACACACATGCACACAAACACAAGCACACGCACACAAACACGCACACACACTCACACAAACACGCACGCTTGCACGCACACACACACCGCTAGATGGATGGAATGACCATATTTTCACACTTTACAGTGTTGTTTTTCTTCTGCTCACAGCTCATGCAGAATCTGCCTGCGCGGGCCGAAGGCTACAGCTGGTCTCTCATCTATAGCACATCTCGTGATGGCTTCAGTCTCAAGTCTCTCTACAGGAGCATGCAGGGAATGGACACTCCCGTGTTGCTTATAGTCAAGGACACCTACGAAAACGTAAGCCAGCTGTGGAGCAAAGCAAACGTCGCACTGCGTTCAAAACGGACAAAGTCATTCATTATGTCGTCGTATCGGTGATCGCAGTCGCTCTAACATGAGTGCGTGTTTAAAAACCGATGCCTGACATGGCGTGCATGCGTGTAATGTCACTCACTGGTGTTTTCAGGTATGTGGTGCTATCACGTCATGCGCACTAAAAATGAGTGATCATTTCTACGGTACGGGCGAGTCGATGCTATTCACCTTCTACCCTGAATTCAAGACGTTCCACTGGACGGGTGATAACGGCTTCTTCATCAAAGGCAATAAGGATAGTCTGTCGATCGGAGCGGGCGAGTACGTGCCACTAATTACTCTGTTTTTTAGCTCATCTGACGTAGTCAGGTGCAGCTTGTAGAATCGCATGATTGTCCCTCCGTCCGTGCGTCCGTCAACAGTTGGGCACAAATCTTAACCGCTCGACGTACGGTCACGATATTCGGGACGTAGGGGGGTAATCCGAAAACGAGTTGGGATGTCGAAGCTGGGGGTCAAAGGTCAATGGTCAAGAGGTGTAAAAGAAGGGAAACATTCCCTCCTTAATTTAAGGTATAGGGAGGAAATGCAGAATTGCGGCCCAAATCTAAACGGCACGCGCTTTGTATCAACCAATGGGATTTGGGCGGAAT